TGTTACAAAGTTATTAAGATGACTCGGTGGTTTTGAATTAAAACATCTCAAACAGCCAAGGAAATTCACGTTTACACAAAAAACTTCTTTGCAATTGAGTTCTAGTGTTGTGACCAAAGCACCAGACAGGCCTTAAAAGTATGGATGAGCTCTAAGTTGAACCAGAATTCAACCCTAGAGACATCGTTCTCCACAAAGCTGAGTTGGCACATCACTGGAGAAGGTCCTGTCTCACACAAGGCAAGAATCATGGCAAATGGATGAGATGCACCAAATGTAAAAGAGTTGGTTCAGGACATTACTGCAGACTTTCCAATTATACCTTTCTAGATGCTCCTCCCAGAATACTCAAACTAAGACTTAACATAACTTTTATTACCAGCATTGTACAACTGCTACAAGAAAGTCCACAGACTTTTGAACTGTTACTGAAGGCTGAAGAGGAAGCTAAAAGCATTGTGAAGTTCTGGCAAAAAAAAAAAGAAGTGAATTTTACTTCTACCTAATAGCAGAAAGTCACAGAAGTAACTCCTATTAAACTAGTTGCAGATGCTCTATAACTGATTTAAAATAATTGAAAACCCTCACAAATCAAAATACTTGCTCATATTTTAAAAACAGTTGTATATATTAGTTATCTTAAGATAACTGAGGACACAACTAAGTTAGTCTTGTAGAACCTTCACAGTGGCATTAAACATTCAGTTATACCTTACGTCAATGGTTGTTAAACACAAGTTCTTTTTTGCTCGTGTTTAAACCAGCTATGTTATTACAGTCAGGGTAGTGCACAGTGCTAGAACAGCATTTACATCTCTTCAGAATGCAACTCCATTATGCTTTCAGCTCTCCAGGGCAGTGTTTCCACATGCTCTGTGCATGTGAAGGGAGAAATGAAATTTTGGAAAAGTTTTTTTTTTTTTCCTAGGCTGTTCAAGGCAAAGAACAAGAGTTACTTTACTCAAAGGAGCACCCATGAACCAAAACCCAACAAAAATACTGTCTATAGCACGAAGGCACCAAGTTTCCTAAAGAAGAATATGCAAAATAAAACCTACCCTCAAATCTTCAGTAACCTAGATATTTGTTAAAAGCTCAGCCATCACTAAATTAACCCAGATATTTGTTAAAAGCTCAGCCATCACTAAATTTCCCTATAGCTAGGTATGAGATTAATGCTTATTATTATCACCTCCAGAGATGAAGAGATGCCCTTTACCGCTGCAAAACTCAGATTTAACACATGCGTCTGGCAGCCACAAGCAGGAGAGCAGCAGCAAAATGGTTGTAGCCATGAGAACCTACAACCTATGCAACCAAAACCACACGCTCCTACTTTAAATTTTAGTCCTAATTCTCTTTGTTTTTATGACAATAGTTGCCTTTCCCTATTTTAGTTTACCTATTTCCCAAAAGTAATTCCTGTTACTATCTTCTCTCTTTCCAAAATGTATCTTTGAGAAGCTTGGATCTTAGTTGGTCTCAGCACTAAGATGTATAGCAATCACCCAGATAAATTAAAGACAAGTGATGGATGGCAGATTAACCCAGAGGAAGGCAAAGCAGTACCCTGTGTTCTTTTTGTATCACCATTAAATAGAATTGTAGAGACATTGTCTTCCTCTGGTGACAGGCTGCATCTCTAATGGGATAAACTTCAGTGTGCTAATTGGCATAGACTACAAATTGGCCACTGGTGTGTGCCTGGAGGTCCTGGGCAATAGGCTGAATGAAGCAAATTGCCCAAAGAGATTTGGAATGAAATCCTTAATCACAAGTTTCAACAACAGAAAAAGAATACTGATTTTATCAGAATTAGTTACCCACATATCAGAGGTGGCTCTTCCTCCAGTTTCTGCATTGCTATGCACAGAGCATGCTTTCATATAAATGGACCTTATCATTAGGGGAGAAAAGGTGAAGTAAGAAACCAGAAACTGAGGAAGGAGGGCACTGCAATGCTGTTCAGTGTCTCAGAAAATCCTTCTGTCTGGTAGAAGCAGCAGGACCACAGAACAACCAGGGGAAAGGCTTCAGTCCTCTGCCTCTTCTTTGCAAAGAAGAGACAAAGACTCCTCTAAATCCAGAGGCAGAAGTGTCCTTCCCAGTGGCCAAGTGGGTGGATGACTGCAGCTAAGACCAACAGAGACACCTCAGCACCTCGCCCCCACTTGCTGTGCCTGTACACCCAGCAGATGGATGGATACTCCAGATATCAGCTGAAGTGTTTCTTCTAGATGCTGTGAATAACATTTTGGATTATCTTATGAGACCTGAATGTCTATATGCCTTTTTTTTTTTTTTTTTTTTTTTTTTTTTTAAAACAGAGCCATGCTTTAGAAGAATATAACCTTACCAAGGTCACAAGACTTTCACAGCACCCCAGTTTTATGATTTTGCTTTATGTTCTAGAAAAATAACATTTTCCAGCTTGCAATAGACAAACAAGACTCACGATCTATACGTACACTAAAAAAATGACCTACTAATTCCCCCACCTTTCTTCCCCCTTTGGGGAAAAGGTTTGAATCCAGTTTGGCATGTACTTGCTGTAATAACGTTCAGGGTGTTGTTTAAATAAGGCTGTTCTCCTGAGCTGCTAAGACAGTTCATTATATTCCCTCAAATCCACAACAGTTTGAAGAACATCATTCTAGTGCTGGCTACAATACCCACAGCTACATATCGCTCAACAGCTTACACATTTGCTTTCCAGTATTACTGTTACCACTCTAGGGAATGTATCACATTACATCAGGCTGACCTTGAATAGGAAGACAACTTTAGAAGAGTTTGCTACTGGTTCTAAGCATCAGGAAACACAACCTCTCCCAAAACAAAGTCAGCATGGCCAATTCCTCCATGAACAAATAATCTCTTTTCAAAACAGTCTCAAGGCATAATTAGCAATTAATGAATCCCTATCCACTATCAACATACTCTATGCAATGCTAGTCCAAGACGTTGACAAAAATCAATCCTTCTAACCACCATTTTTACCTTGTTTACTATGTATTGTTTGTACATAGTATGTATTATTTTTGTTTTTTAAGAATATGAAATAGACAAATTATGCCAAATTGGAGTCTCTCTAGCTATCACATAACTGAAAGTTGATGGATTAGTTTAAACATTTATTAGCTTAGTACAAATTAGTACAACTGTTATATTTTATATAGTTCTATGGATGTCTCCTGACATCTCTGGAGTGCCAAGAGAATAGACTTCGTCCTTTTTGATACAAAGTTATAGGTAAGAGCAGATGTCATGATGTTTTAAACAGCATTCACTGTTAAGGGTAAATAATTAGACAGGAAGAAAAAAAAAGACTGGGTTTTCTTATGTATTTCTTTTTAGGATTACAAAAGACAAGTCAAAGAATTCAGCAAACATCCCTCTTCACTTCCGACATCATCTGACTTTCCCTTTTAGCTACAGTAAATATTCTTATACATCAAAATAGAAGAAGCATGTAACAATCAGAAAGATCAATGCAGTGGAATGGCGATACAGGAGGTGCAACAACAAAAGGACCAGCATGAACAGAAAGATGTTACAAAGGAAGAGTGCTTACCTGAAGATCTAGGCTCACAGGGAAAAACTCCAACCAGAGACCCTCCCCTAGCGGCAGTCAGCCCTTAAATGAGGTCTAAGAGAGGTGCAGCCAGGCTCCACCCCTTCCAGTCACACAGCTGAATTGCCTTCACCTGTGCTCCCAAGGCTGACTGGGTCCTTTCCTCAGGAGCTCAATCAGTGGTTCAGGCCACAACCCAACAGTTACCATGCAGCAAGTTTACTAACCTCAGGAAGAGCCAGGCCAGGTGAACCACATAAACGTAATACAGCCAGACACAGAAGAGGTGTGCACAAATCTTGTTTGAGATGAATAGAATAAGCATTTCCAAAATGCTGCCTTTCACAGTGAATCAGCCATGTGTTCCCTGCCCCAAGTTTGGGCTTCTCTTTAGCTGCTTACAGCTGGGAACGCGGTAGTTCAACTTGTTTGCTTCCAGATATATGTACTTTTCTGTACAACCTTCCTTCCAAAAGAATACCGCTCTTCCCACAGAAAAATTCTTAAAGAGAACACAGCTCCAAAAAAACAAGTTAAAGTTCCCCCTACCCCAGAGAAACCCATTGATTCATTTCTTGATTTCTCTGCTTTGTAAAAATTTGCATTTCAAAAAAGAAGAGAAAGAACAGAGTCCACAGCAGCACCAGCTTAACTAAAACAATCTTTGAATATTCATTTTCCCTCCTCTTTTTACAGAAAGATTGGTCCTGCTATCGCAGTTGCATGATGTGCATGCAGAGGACAGGCCCCACTGAGCTCCAATTTCCAGTGAAAGAGCATCAATTGCATTTTTATGCTTGTTAGTGTAATTACAATTCAGTATTCGCATTGCAGTAATGTCTATGCAATCCTGCTGAGATTTGTTCTACTCTGCAGCATACAAACACATTGACATGACCCCAAAAAGAGTTGGGTGGTTGCCAGTCCCACCTTGTAGAAAGCACGAATGATTGAAAGGCTGAGTCTACATCAAAGTTTTTATCAAGACTTGTACAGCTGCCACTTGCATGAGGTCCTGAACTAGGTAAGGTGAAACAAACAGAAACAAGAGCTTTAACACGTGTTCTTCTGTTGTGCTTACGCACATACTCTTCAATTATGTGCCTGCAGCAACCAGCTGAAGCCAGCACAGAACATGTGTGGATCCAGGCACTGGCGCAATTCTCACCCTGGCAGACCAAAATGCTGTCATTTTGGCTGAAGTGTTCCATCTACTTTTGTGCTCACAAGTGAGCCGATAACTTCTAATGTTTCTTTCACTTGTTTTCTTCCATTCTGTGTCCTGCTTACTCTCCAGAAAAGCAATCTCCATAATGTTTTAGTTTATAGCATTTCTAAAGAGGCAAAACACAAAACTCAGTAACTGTTTCCACCACAAGAAACAATCAAATCTTAGGAAGCAAAATAAATAAGTGAATAACCTTACCATTTGATGAGATGTCCAGCTCAGAATAACGAGATATTTTTTGATGCTTTGAAGACAAATACCACATTCCATATTCATTGTACCGCTGAAACATAAGACCTGTCAGAAGATTTTCAAGTGATTAAAAAACTATGGACATGTCGTGCACGCTGACAGTAAGTTTCAGGTAAAAAAAACAAGGCTAAAAATACATAGCTGTATGCATGCACACACACACTTACGAGCTTTAACACTCCAAGGACAGAATCCAAGCTCTGAGATCCTAAAGAAAAAAAATATCAAGAGTCACATAACATTTCAACAAGGGAATGCTCCAGAACTAAATCCAGCCACTGCCTTATCTTCTACTGGGGTAAAATGGAGACTAACTCATGGTTTAGTAAATCCCCAATTTTCCTTACAGCTTTGGTCAAACGTTCTAAAAAAGCCCATAGACTTCTTGATTCCCATAGACCTAAGGACTTGTAGGTTGCTAAAAACAAGCAGCCCACACTTTGGTTACCTAGCTGACCACAAGGTACCCCCAAGCGTGCCCACCAGCTTACCATTAGTGATAACAGCTCCACCTACCACCAACCCCTCCATGAGCCATTAAATCCAACCTTGTTTCAATTAGACTAATTAATTACTACTTTGCAACACCTTCCCTCAGCAGGACTCTGCTGTTGCAAGGTTTTTTCACACTGACAAGAAAAAAAAAATTGTACTGCAGAGATAATCAACAACTTGCTTCAATGTTTGTATTTACATTAAATAACAATTGTAAAACAGACAAAAAAAAAATAATAATAATAATTACCTGTGCAGCAGCTGAAGGTTACTTGGGCAGCACAACACGAGTGCTCTCAGGAGGTAGAACCAGGCTATTTTAGAGACCACAAATTTGCCCCACAGCTGATGCTCATATTGGTTGCTTCTGTATTAAGCAAGACCATTAAAACTTCAGCTGGTGAAGAAGTCTGGGCCTTGGAGAGTTCACCTTCAGTAGCTCAGACAGGCCAACAAAGCAGTGCTTTTGCAATCCTTAGACTGCCTTTATCACAAGATAGATAAAATGGATCTCCATCAGTGCTGGGTTGATCCTACAGCAGACACCAGGCCTATCCAAGCACCCAAGTTACATCTTCCTTCTCTGCAAAGTGCCAGGCTCCTGCACACGTGGTATGCTATAAATGCGTGAGCCCAGATGATTGCTTTATCTGGGAGCTGAAAGTGAAGTTGTTGTTTCGCCCACCTGGCTGCAGCACTTCTAGTAATACCTCTCACCTCGACATCACTGAGCTTCTTAAAATTACCTTTCTTAAAATAAAGACGTGTTCTAAGGTGATTTAGAAAATAATTATATGTGCTCAAAGTTGCCTTTTTTTTTTTTCTTTCCTGCAAAAAGGAAAACACTGACAGGTCTTTCTCTGTAGTGCTTGGTCATGTGTCATGCAAGTCAGTGATATTTTTGTTCCTTCTCAGTAACATGAGAAGACTAATTTTGTCTTCTGACCTCATTTTGATTAGCTTTGTGTGGTGGAAGGTTATATTAAATCATTAGATTCCCTCATCAGCAAAGTAAAGCCACATTAAAGACAGTGTACACTGCAGGAGAGCAGCCTATTCCACCCAGTAATGGTGTCCTTCTCCTCAGGGCACAGCACCCGGCCTCTGGAAGAAGCTGTCTCCCTCAGTAAGTTGTTCAGCATACAGTCTTTTACCAAAGCATGCAGATAAAGCAGTGCTTTGTTGGCCTAATCTGGCTTGGAAAACCTTTGCCTTGCAGAAAAACATAGCAATTCTGGTAACCAGGCAAAAAGCACAGTATTTTAAATCATGGTGTAGGAAGGGCATTTTAGAAGACAGCAACAAATAGATTGCTGAATCGCTGTAACAAAAGTCCAAACATGGTGATCTTTCCGGTGAGATGTTTTCTGTCATGCTGAGGCCAGAGAGGAGGGGAGAGGCAGCACAGGGTGTGACAGGCGCTGCGATGCTCCCACCACCCACAGGGTTTCCCTTGGGCCTTTTAGAAAGAAAGAAAATCCAGTGCCGTAATTTTCTCCCTTCGAGATGAGTAAACTGTATTTCTTCCAATGAGAAGACAATCAGCTGCCCATCACAATGACAGTTACCTGCCCTTACTGTCCTTAAGCAAACTAGTTCTGTCAAAACCTAATGATTCTCAGTTGTGAAAATGTACTTTTGACATTCTGCGTGTCTGACAGAAAATACAAAGCAGCCACAAATACTATCACAAAGCAGTGAGCATCCATTTCATCTCAACAGAGGTTTTCGTTAGAAACAAACAATAAGAACACTGTGGCATTACTTCTGTTCATTTGACAAGCAACCAGCATTTCTCAGATTTCAGCTCTTCAGTGGGTCTTTGGGTAATGTCTGCTCCTCCTTCACCATCTTCTGTGAATCACATCTGTGGAGAGAGCCAATCCATCCACATCTTCTCACACCGGCTGCCAGCCCCCAAGGTCCCCATTAAGGTCACACAGCCTGGGGCTGCTCACAGGCAGAAATACCAGCTGATGTTACCAGATTCCAAACTGGAAATGGAGGAAAAGGGATATATGCTCATCTAACTTATGACTCCATTTCAAAGTTTTTTGTTCCAGGATAGTTTGTTCTGGTGGACACAAATCTGGCTGTTAGTGGCTTCAGACATGGTGATTACAAGCACTGCTGAGGAATACAGGGTAATTCCCCTACTAGCAGTTGTCTTGCCCTCTTACTGCTCTCTGGTAGCTGTGTAAGTCTGTATTTTCCACATACTAATGTTTCAGTCTACTGTCCTTGAGAAATGTTCTTCTTTTCTCTCTGTATTTTCTCTCTGTTTTATCAGAGATAGGGAGAAAGAAAACTCAGTAACTCCCCAGAAAGTGCTCCTTTGAACTTTGTTGCAGCTAATTATCTCACCCCAAGACTGAATTCTTAGTGGAAGGTCTGCACTGAAAAGGGAAGGGAAGGGGGAAAGGGGAAGGAGAAAGGGAAGGGATAAAAGGAGGCCAGTTGGAGAAGATACACTACAATTCCTCTGCATTTTTAATGTCTATTGGTTCTGTGCATCTTTCTCTGTTCATGGAGGATCTCAATAGCAGTTGTAGAAGATATGGTAATTCTGTCACTTAGAAATGCCACCATCTCCTCTGCTGCTTGGTATCATGCCAACAGAATTTCACAGCACAGGCTTGGTGAGAGATAACAACTGCTGGCTAATCACAGGCCAAGGCAATGCATCCCACCAAGTGCACTGCATGAAGAGTCCAGCCCAGTGCAATTACTGAGGGCAAGTGGCAAGGAGGGATAGAGCTGATAGATCAGCTGGCTGCTGGGATTGACACAGACGACCAGAAAGCTGGAGCAAAGCTGTGCAGTTTCACAGCAATTGAAAATGCTGTAATATACTTGCATTACTCCACACAGCACTTATAAAAATTTCTTCTAAGCTCCATTTTCTAGCTGTTAACACATCATTTCTTATTATATGCTTTTTCCTTTTAACCTATCCTCCTGCTTTATACCCACCAAACAGGTACAACCAAAGTTGGTTAACAGGAAAAATCCAATTTCAGGAAGTTAAACTCACTTAAACTAATCTCAGACTTCCAACCTTCTGCCTGAACTGTGACATGGGAAAGTAGTCAACAATTTTTATTTCAGCACACTAAGTTGCAAAGAAAACAGGTCCTTCTCACATGTACTTGCAGCCACTTGTCCCCTCTGTGCCTGCAACGTGCATTAAAACCTTCACCTGCAGTTATTTTAAGAAAACATGTAATATCTTCTCTCCTATACAAGCAGGGAAATCTTGGCAGGAGCAGTAACGCATAAAAGCAATTGGGCAGAGGTGACAAGCAGGAGCAGGGCTGTAAACCTAAGAGGCAGGTGCAAAACAAACCCAAAGGCTGATCTCCTGGCCTGAAATCTGCCACTACCAGGAATGAGGCAGAAGATTGGCTCCCAGGGGACTGGGGTCTCCCCACGTGGCCCCCAGGGCAGGTTTCAGCAGCCTAAGACCATGCCATGAAGCTCAGTGCCCCATGCCCAGACAGGTGTGAATTTGGCTGCAAATTCAATAGAGCAAAAGAACTGCAGGTTTCCCAATTAGCACACATCAGCACCACGACCATGCACAGATTCATGCTCTGCAGCCATTTCTGCCCTGTGGTGATCTGGCCCCATCTGCTCTTTGAAATAAATTCTGTTGAATCTCTCACACAGGTGAATTTACAGCCAGTCCCCAGGAACATGGTAGTATTGGATTAGAGATGAACCAGTTCTTGCATTCTGTATCAATTCTTCCATTAGGGCATTTGTTCAAGTAATCATTAGTTTGCTGCACACATGTAAAACCATATGCTAAACACATTTTAAGTGAAGAGTGATAAAGTATAACAGGACAGCAACAGGAAGAAGATGTTTGTGGAAAAATGAGCCTGTGGCAGATCTGAAATCTTATTAGAAAATAAAATATTAAGAAAAAATACAAAGTATCATGTCAACCTAATTGTGCAAGAATACACAACAAATATTTTCCATGTAATAATGATGGAAAGGAACATCTACAATATCCCAAATTACAACTGAGCTGTGGTGCCATGCAAAGCGGTTACCAGATGCCCAAGAAAACCAGGCTGCAGGGCTTTAACATTTGCAGAAAAGGAGTTTGTGAGGAATTCCCAGAACAAAGCTCTTCTTTAAAATAACCAGTTCCCTCTTCCAGCACACCTTTGTTATTCATAGAATCATAGAATTCTTAAAGTTGGAAGAAACATTTAAGGGCCGTCTAGTCCAACTCCTCTGCAATGAACAGGAACAGGCACAGCCAGACCAGGTTGCCCAGGGCCTGATCCAGTCTTGCCTTGACAGTCTCCTGGGACGGGGCATCCATCATATTTCTGGGCAACTGTTCCTGTACCTCACCATCCTCACTGTAAAAGACTTTTTCCTTATATCTAACCAAAATCTGCCCTCTTTAAGACTGAAACTATTTTCTCTTGTTCTGTCACAACAGACCCTGCTGAAGAGTCAATCCTTTTCTTTCCTATACTTCTCTTTAGATACTGAAGGACCACTCTCAGGTCTCTCTGGAGCCTTCTATTTTCCAGGCTGAACAGCCACAGCTCTCTCAGCCTGTCCTCGTAAGAGAGATGTTCCATCCCTTGGATCATTTTTGTGGCCCTCCTCTGTATGCTGTCCAATTGGTCAATGCCTTTCCGGTCCTGAGGATTCTACATCTGGACACAGTACTCCAAGTGAGTTCTCACCAGAGACCAGTGGAATATATTAGCACCGAAATACTTCCAAGCCCCTCAAAGAAAATATTATAGACTTTTTAAAATTAGCTTTCTAAAAAAACCTTCTCTTTTACAACATGAACTGTTGGAACTGGCAAAAATGAGCTGTATTCCTTTTCACATCTTTACCTTACACAGTCACAAGCTACTGAATTCATTCTGGCTATTATACAGCTTATTTTTCTCCTGGTACACACACATCGCACTCATAATTGTTTTGTACAGCATTGTGCTTAACTAAATAGTGCAAGTGTTATTTTACACTCAACTTGGAACCACATCACAAACACAGCAAGCCTGAGATCAGGTTAACAGCATCTGCACACTGCAAGAGTAGAGAGGCTGCAAGTGATTTCTCACCTTGCTTCCCACAGTGACCCCAAGGCACCCAGGCCCTAATGGGCCGTGTGGAGGGGATGTTGCAGGAAAAATGTGGTTCTCAGAGGAGCCATGCTGACTCATCCCTGCTACAAGCTCAGTCTCCAGCTGGATTACAGAGCCAATGCCAGCAGTACAATGACACCTGCAGAAAGCAGCTTCAGAAACACTCTCTTTCAAATGAAAGCAAGCTGCTGGAAGTTCAGTTACAAAAAAGCACTTTTGATGTTTTACAGTTCTGTATTTGTGACTAAAGTAAGTCAGATGTAGCAGAGTCCATGATCACCTATCAGAGAGTCGTGGTGAGACCAGATGGCTACAGAGGTCAGCTTTCTCACTGCAAGGGCTGTTGGCTCCTTCGGCACTAATGAAAACGCTAAATCACAAGAAACACCTGTAAAAAAGGACACTTAAAAACAGAATTACCAGAGAGGAAACAGCTTCAGAAGACACTTCACAAAGCAAATTGCTGCCAATTGCAAAAGAAACAGCAGGGAGGACATGGGAGCTCTAGTAGCTCCAGCATTTGGGAAAATGTTAGGAAGAAAATGGAGTCACTCACTGAGGAGCTCATTCCCACACAGACACATTGTGCAGCAGGCTGAGGATGGCGGCCCCCAGGGAGTTCCTGGGCCAGAGTGAACCAGGGGAGTGTGGAGACCTGCCAAGAGCTGGCAGCTCTCAGGAGGGGTCTGGGGGCTGTGGCTGGCAGCAAGTTGAACATGAGCCAGCAGCATGCGCTGGCAACCCAAAGGACCAGCCATACTCCCAGTTGCACCAGGCCCAGCATTGCAAGCAGATGACAGCATGGATTGTTCCCTGTGCTCTGTGTGGCCTTGCCTCCAGCACTGAGTACAGTTTGGCTGCCACTACATAAGAAGGACATAAAGTTTTACGTGAAGGAGGTGGTAGTCATCCTGCTGAAGCTCAGCACAGGATATTTGGATGCTCTATTTATTAGAGGAAACAGAAACAGAAAAATGGAGAAGAGATATGAAGCATCCAGTTCCTACTATAAGAATGATTTGATTTTGAATTGAATTAAAAAATACAGATAAAAAAAGGAAAAAGTTTGTTATATCTGGGGTCAAACAGTCACCGGTGGATTTGAAACAAACAAACAAACAAACATGTGATTAGTTCTGAATTTGATTTGGAGAATGCAATAAACCCAAAAAATGTACACAAGATTAATTTCTAGGTCTCTGTAACGGGACAGAATGGACACGAGTACGTTCATGCTACCAGGAATATCCTTTGTCATGAAATCTGCAAATTAAAACAAACAAGTAAAACAACAGTAGAAGAAAGTAATAGGTCACTGACATAAATATTTCAGATTCAAAACGTTCAGTAAATAAAATTGCCTACATTTAACAAAACATTTTTACTGACACAACTGAAGCTTATTATTTTAAAACATTTTTTGATGTTTCTGGTACATTCTTCTACATAAGGGGAGTCCTATATGCATTTCCAATATGCCATATGGAAACAAACACTTCTACAGTCAGTCTACTTTGTAGCTTAAAGTCTGTTCCTGGTATTTTCTTCCTCACAAGAAAGTATCACAAATTCCTGAAGGAATACAGGGCAAAACATCTATTGACAATGTCCTCAAAGTACAAGAACAGATCAGAATGAAAGGCTGCAGACCTCATTTAACAGGGCTCAAGTAGCAGAACAAAAATTCAAGAGAGAACGTGAAGGTCACGGAAACAATACGACTAGGAGAAAGGCTGCAAGAAAGAGAACTCACGCAGATGCATGCAGGCCTAGTGAACTCATACATTCATATTGTCTTGTCATCCTGAGTCCATCTCCTTGTCCACGTACCAAGAAAAGTAGCTGGAACATCCTTCTGAGGAGGGATTCCTCTGCCTTAAAAAAAAGCTTCCACCCTGGCATGTTTTTACACCAAAGACAGATCAAGTCTTCTACAAAAACCTCGAAAGGCAATATAACGCTCTGTATATGATGAACACTGGGGTGTGAGAGACAAATGCCTCCAGAACTGTAACTGAAACAGGGTGCTGCTGCTGCTCACAGGTACAATGGCATGTTCACAGAGACCCGTTCTGTTAAAAATTGACACTGACAGTACTTTGTATGTGGACAAGAATTATGGCTTGAGAAAACTGGCCTTTTTTCATCCACTGTTGTGTGGCTCATCAGCACTGTGTACACAGCCACATTAGCTGCTGATGGCAGACATGCTCTTGAGCACCCCATCAATCTGCTCTTGAGACGATGCAAAGAGCAGCAGAGGTGCGTGACTTCCATCTGTAAGAATCAGCGAGTCACAGAAACAAGAGTGCATTCACAGGAGTGAGAGTAAAAGATGAGATGGTTGCAGAAAGTCATTAAACTTTGCCCACTTGGGTGGCAGTGGAATTATATACCGAGCCTGTATTACCAATTCAAATGACCACGGCTTTCTGTAATTGCTGGCTTGCTATTTATGGGTGAGAGAAAAGTGCTGCCAGTGGCACTACAGCCTGACCTGCTTGCTTCTGAGGACATGTGAAGGTCACAGCAGTACATGAAACACAAAAGAAAAATCATGTGATGTACTGTGCTTGCCAGTACTTAGTTTTCTCTGTCAAGACACAGGAAAAGAACATAAGATAGGCTAGGATTGTGATCTAACTGAAGTTTCTGCATTCTCTTCTTCCTAGAAATGAGAATGTGGAACAAGGGTCTATTTTCTTCAATAACCCCTCCTCGTGAAACAAATCTACAAGACTTGCAGGAATCCTTAAAAACAGGGAATTGCAACAATGATTAGGAGTGAGAAAAATACATCTCTGTGAGAGGAGCAAGGACATACAGAGTACTTGTGAGGCATAATAAGCACTGAAAAAGCAACCTGCATAGCTGAATGAGTTTTGCAACATGATAGAAACCTTCAGTAATTTGCTGTTCATACAGGTAGAACAGAAGACTTTTAAGAAGGTCTGGTAAAGAAAGTTGTCTATACACACAGTTTGTTCAAACTGACCCTCACTAACTTTCCTCAGGTAAGCTGAGACTTCAAATAAGTCTCCTTCTTCAACCTTGCACATTAAGTCATATAGAAGTTGAAGTAAGCCCAGATATCCTTTGTGGAGCTTCAGCAAGATGACTGCTTTCTCTTTCACATAAAAACAGTAATGGAATCTCTTCCCCTCAAAAAACATATGCGAAATTAGGCCAGTTCTGCTATTTTCCCCTTTTTGGTCCTTCAAAGAAAAAAAATACATAG